TGTTTATAAATAGAATAAAGGTTTTCATATTCTGAAAACTGGTTTTCAAATGTTTTCAAATCATTTGCAAAATTTGAGCAAAGGTTTGGAGTTGATCGGACAATATGGGGAGGGGGGCTGCGTGAAGTCGGCCACCCTTACTGAAAACAGCTTCCTGCGATGAAAGTAATGGTTTTCAAATTCTGAAAACTGGTTTTCAAATGTTTTCAAATTATTTTCAAAATGATGGCTGGGGTTTGAAGAAAATTGGACAAAGTTGGGGGGGGGCAACTTCACACACGTTCATCTTTCACAATTGCCAAATCATTTATCACCAGTGGCTTGCAACCTGCAGTCCACTTATCACGCACTTGTAACTGTGGCAAATATTCGATGTGCCACCTGTTCTAAAATGTTTGCATCAAACCTTGTACGGATTTCCATTTTGACAGTCTGTTCGGGCTTTCATTCGATACGTCTGGTTCTGGGTGGAAAAACATAGGGCCTCCAATTATAAAATGCACTGGAGTAAGAGGGTCCATGTCAAACGGATCACTGCTCATGGGAGTGAGTGGTGTAGAATTGAGACAGGCCTCTATCTGGCATAAAAAAGTTTCCAGTTCACTGTACGTCAGACTACCTTCCTTTAGTACACGCAGTAAATGATATTTTGCACTTTTGACGCCACTCTCCCAGAGCCCGCCAAAATGCGGTGCCGATGGTGGGTTGAAGTGCCACGTTACACCTTCATTTGCTAGGTGATTTGCCACGTTTTGTATGTATTCAGTCAACTCTCTTTCTGCTCCAACGAAGTTCGTTCCATTGTCACTCCACATGGTCAATGGTTTACCGCGTCTTGATATAAATCTGCGTAGAGCAGCCAAAAATGAAGCACTGGTCATATCTTCTATGTGAATAGCCTTCGCAAAATCGCAATCCAAGCCTTTTTACTAGGTCTTCCTCTTATTCCACTGCGAATGGAGACTGGTCCTACGAAATCTACACCTGTGTTTGTGAAAGGACGTGTAGACTGAACACGTCGTCTTGGCAGGTGACCCATACTTGGAGTATCGAATGTAGGTTTAGCCTTGATACATTTAATACACCGACGAAAGATTGAGCGAGCTATTACCCTTCTTTTAATAGGCCAATAACGTCGCCTTACCTCTGCAAGTAACGATTGAGACCCGCAGTGCAATAATTCGGAATGTATATAGACGAAAATCATCTTCGTGATTTTATGATCACCTGCGAGAATAATTGGCTCCTTTTGTGACTGTGAGATGTCAGCGTTTTTTAAGCGTCCACCAACTACCATTAACCCATTCTTTAATTTTGGTTGTAATGATTTTAGCTTGCTCCGGCAAGATATCTCCTTTCCGGATGTCATTGCTACCACTTCACTATTAAAAGAGTCTATCTGTGCTCTTTTTAGTAGTGTATGATCAGCTTCTTCTAACTCTTGCGCAGTAAGGTAACATTTGTCTGGTTTTTCACGTTTTTTTCTAAGATAATCAACAAACGTATGCATCCAAGCTACTGCTCGACGAAGCTTATACCATTCAGAGTAACGGTTAACTAGATCCTTTGTTGGTTCTATCGATATTAAAGCTAACTTTATCAGCCTTTGTTCTGGGAGATCTACTGGATTTGGCCACATATTTGAGTCTTCTCTCCAACCCTTGTCATCTTCTCTCAGCCACAGTGGCCCTTGCCACCATAATAATGTTTCCTTCAAGTCTTGAGGTCTTATTCCTCTGGATAGAACATCAGCTGGATTCTCGTTAGTGCTGATATAGTGCCACTGTTGACTATTTGTTATCTCCAAAATTTGGCATATCCTATTCGACACGTACGTCTTGAGACGGTTAGGGTGACTGTTGATCCATCCAAGAACTATTGTTGAATCTGTCCATAGCCAAAATTGAGAGACATCAATTTCCCAGGATTTAGCAATCTTTAAGGCTAATTGGGCCAAAACCAATGTACCACTAAGCTCTAAGCGTGGAATTAATGCCCCAGTGAGAGGTTCTACACGTGTTTTAGCGCATATCAATTTTATATGCCATCTACCATTGTGATCCTTGCTTCTAACATAAATGCAAGCGCCATACGCATCCTGAGATGCGTCAGAAAACCCGTGAATCTCAAATTCTTGGTTTGATGCTTCCTTTGACTTCCTTGGGATCTCTAATGTTTGCAGTGCTGCAAGATCTGCCCAGAACCGATGCCATCTTGTCCTTATATCGGCAGGTAGAGGAGAGTCCCAATTAATTTTCATTTGCCACAGTAGTTGAAGAAACACCTTGACTTTCACTAGAACCGGAGCCAAAAATCCAAGAGGGTCGAAGATGCTGTTCAGTGATGATAAGAGAGTCCGTTTCGTTATCATAGCTTCTAATTTATTGTTTACCAAAATTGAATTTGAACACATTTGCCATAGGCTTCCAGCACAGACCTAACGATTTAACTGTATCGTGGTCTCCTAATTTTAACACAAATAATGGATCGTCATTGAATCCTTCAATCCCCTTTAATATTGTGACCGAATTTGAACACCATTTCAGTAATGGAAACTTAGCTGAGTTAAGTATCCTTGAAACATCTTGTTGCAACTTTAAGCATTCTTCCTCCGAATCGCTTCCAGTCATGATATCGTCCATTTAAAAATCTCGTCTTATTGTTTTGGCTGCGAATGGAAAAAATACCTCATTTTGCCTAGCTAATTCATCCAAACATTTCGTTGTCATAAAGGAGGCCGGAGTGGTGCCGTAAGTGACTGTATTTAAACGATATAGACTAGGTATCTGAGCAGTAATTCATGAAATACAAATATGACCTACTGGCTCAATAGTATAAATTTATAATACGATAATAACTAATAAAAGGCCCTCCTGGCCCAACAAAGTATAATAAGTGCTGCTATATGATCTGGTACAATTAACAAATATAATAATTATATGGCCTTTATGGCACGATAATAATTTAGGTATATAACAAAAAATATAATACCAATAATAATAAAATACTCACAGATATGACGGTGCTCGGCTGGCCAGCTGCTACCTATYCTAGTTGGARCTAATGATAATAACACACACTATATTGATAATAATAATAATAAAATAATATGCATTGGCGATATGCGCCTTACAACAAATAAATTAATACAACAATACAAAAAGGTTGGCGATTAGCGCCGCACAAAATAATATAAATTTGGCAATTTGCGCCCGTGCCCAAAATAATATGAAAGTGGCGATTCGCGCCCACAACAAATATTAATAATTGTGGCAATAAGTGCCCATACAATCTTTAAAAATATTATTATAATATAAATTATACGAAACCGAAATGCATCGGTTGTGCGAGAGAGACTGATTTGGTTGGGTGGCCTTGCTAAACTAAATTCGCGTAGACGACGCGGTGGCATACGATAGCGTCCTAATCTGCATATTATTACATAATTAAATACAATTCACGAAAATAAAATAACATAATAATAAAAGGTATGTGTTGTATGTGTGTGTGTCGATCAGGTGTAAGAAGCGCGCGGAGCGGTCGGCGGTATTGCCACTAACGTACCCAATAATAATATAGTCGTTCCGGGCGCAAACAAATATCATTTAACTAAGAACTCTATATCAAATTAAGTTCAAATGATTTTCCTACCCTAATTATAATGTTTCGATATTTATATTCTACAGAAAAATTTACAAATTCATTCCAAACATATCAAATAAATCATTTGATTTTCCAACTTAACTATAACATTTGATGAATATTTGATGAATATAAAATATATTATATACTTATTAATTATTATCGGGTATTATCTGTCTTCAATAGGGCAAGGTAGGTTGATTTAATTTTACATAATTATTTAATTTTACACGATTTATAATATATATCTTAAATATATTTAAACATTTTAAACTTTAATCAATTGTTTATAATTATAAAATATATTATACACTTATTAATTATTATTGGGTATTCTTTGTCTATAATAGAGAAACGTAAGTTGATTTAATTTTACACGATTTATAATATCTATCTTAAATATATTTAAACATTTTAAACTTTAATCTTTTGTTTATATAATTTTTAAATATTAGCATTCAATTTTCCAAGCTTCTAAAACAAAAAGGCTAAAAGTTATGATCTATTATAATTAAAWATTAACCTTAAACTACGTGTTTGTAATGTTTAATTCTATGCATGGCCTGATAGAAGATATTTAAGTATGAATATATTAGAACTAAAAACACTATTTCTGATTATGTTCTAATTATTTTTTCCTTTATTATTTTGTTTTGAAATTTATATTCTACTGAATAACTTAAAAAGTCATTGCTGCAAAAATTTCAAATAAATCACTTGAATTTCCAATTTAATCATAATATATCATGAATATAATATAGTTATTAAATAGATTATATTATACACTTATTAATTATTATCGTGTATTCTTTGTCTATAATAGAGAAACGTAAGTTGAAATAATTTTAAATAATTATTTAATTTTACACGATTTATAATACGAATCTTAAATATATTTAAAGTATAATCTTTTGTTTACATAATATTCAACATAATTTAGATAAGAAACGTGATTTTATTTTTGAATTATCTGCATTCAATTTTCCGAGGTAAAAAAAAAAATGTTATTTATAATTTATTATATTTGAATATCATCCTTAAACTATGTGTTTTTTATGTTTAATTCTACGCATGGCCTGATAGAAGATATTTAAGTATGAATATAATAGAACTAAAAACACTATTTCAGATTATGTTCTAATTATTTTTTCCTTTATTATTTTGTTTTGAAATTTATATTCTACTGAATAACTTAAAAAGTCATTGCTGCAAATATTTCAAATAAATCACTTGATTTTCCAATTTAATCATAACATTTGATGAATATTTTAAAATTATAAAATATATTATACACTTACTAATTATTATTGATTATTATCTGTCTATATAAGTGAAAAGTAAGATAATATAATTCTAAATAATTCTTAATGTTACACGATTTATAATTTGCATCGAAATTATGTTTTAAGTTAATTCTCATGTTTATGTAATATTCAATATAATTTTGATAAGCAGTGTAATTTAATTTTTTAATTATCTGCATTCAATTTTTTGATTTAAAAAAAAAAAATTTTAGTTATAATACTCTATTATAATTAAATATTAACCTAAAACTATGTGTTTATATTGTTTAATTCTATGCGTTGCATGATAATAGACATATAAGTATGAATATGTTATGACTAAGAACTGTATTTCAAATAATGTTCAAATTATTTTTCTACCTTAATTATTATGTTTCGAAATATATATTCTACCGGAAAACTTGAAAATTCATTGCAAACATTTCAAATAAATCACTTGATTTTCCACTTTAATCGTAAAATTGTATGCATATTTTATAATTATAAAATATATAATACACTTATTAATTATTATTGGTTGTTCTTTGTCTATAATAGAGAAACGTAAGTTGATTAAATTTTAAATAATCATTAAATATTACACGATTTATTATACAGTCCATTACCAATTCAAAGTTTGCATATTTATTCAGTGGAGTAACCCTGAACCATTGTAATACTATATAATGGGCTACGCCCCACCAATATGAAACATGAATATATTTAAAGTTTAATCATATATTTATATAATATTCAACATAATTTAGAACAGAAGTTTGATTTTATTTTTTAATAATTTTATTCAATTTTCCTATTTAAAAAAAAAAAAGATGTTAGTTATAATCTATTATTACAATTAAATATTAACCTTAAACTTCGTATTCATAATGTTTAATTCTATGCATGGCCTAATAGTAGGTAGACATACGCAATTATGAATAAGTTATAACTAAGAACTCTATAATAACAAATTCAGTTCAAATTCTTTTTGTACCTTAATTATTATGTTTCGAAATATATATTCTACCGGAAAACTTGAAAATTCATTGCAAACATTTCAAATAAATCATTTGATTTTCCACTTCAACCGTAACATTTAATGAATATTTTATAATTATAAAATAAATTATACACTTATTAATTATTATCGAGTATTCTCTGTCTTCAATAGAGCAAGGCAAGTTGATTTAAATTTAAATAATTATTTAATTTTATATGATTTATAATATGCATCTTAAATATGTTTAAAGTTTAATCTTATGTTTATATTATATTCAACATGATTTTAATAAGATTTTTGATTTGATTTTTTAAATATCTGCATCCCATTTACTGAGTTTCTAAAAAAAAAGCTGCTATCTTATATTTATATAATACTCAACATAATTATATATATGAGAAGTTTGATTTTATTTTTTAATAATTTTATTCAATTTTCCTGTTTAAAAAAAAAAAAAATTGTAGTTTTAATCTATTATAATTAAATATTAACTTTAAACTATGTATTTATAATGTTTAATTCTATGCATGACCTTATAGTAGACATATAAGTATAAATATCATAATACTAAGAACTCTATTTCAAAATAAACTCAAATGATTTTCCTATCCTAATTATCATGTTTCGATATTAACATTCTACCGAAAAACTTGAAAATTCATTCCATACATTTCAAATAAATCATTTGATATTCCACCTTAATTATAACATTTGATGAATATTTTATAAATGTAAAATATATTATATACTTATTAATTATTATCGGGTATTCTCTGTCTTCAATAGAGCTAGGTAAGTTGATTTAATTTTCCATAATTATTTAATTTTACACGATTTATAATATCTATATTAAATATATTTAAAGATTTTAAACATTAATCTTTTATTTATATAATTTTTAATTATCAGCATTCAATTTTTCAAGCTTCTAATAAAAAAAGGCTTTAAGTTATGATCTATTATAWTTAAATATTAACCTTAAACTACGTGTTTGTAATGTTTAATTATATGCATGGCCTGATAGTAGATATATAAGTATGAATATATTAGAACTAAGAACACTATTTTAGATTATATTCTACTAATTTTTTTGTTTTGAAATTTATATTTTACTGAAAAACTTAAAAAGTCATTGCTGCATAATTTTCAAATAAATCACTTGATTTTCCACTTTATTCATAATATATGATGAATATTATACATATAGTTATTAAATATATTATATTATACACTTATTAATTATTATCGGGTATACTTTGTCTATAATAGAGAAACGTAAGTTAATTTAATCTTTAATAATTATTTAATTTTACTCGATTTATAATATGAATCTTAAGTATATTTAAAGTTTAATCTTTTGTTTACATAATATTCAACATAATTTAAATAAGAAATGTGATTTTATTTTTGAATTATCTGAATTCAATTTTCCGAGTTCTAAAAAAA